GTCACTAATCATGATTTTTTAGAGTCTAAATTTTAAAATTCTAAACTCTAAAAAATCTTTTGACCCCTAAAACCCCTAAAACCCTCAAAACTAAACCCTAATACAACATAGTTAACCCAAACATAAATGATATAATGAATAAATAATTCTGAAAAATAGCATATTTGTAAAGATTGCAAAAAGATGGCATTTTTGTAAAGTGGCACTTGAAAAATGACATTTTTTAAAAAAATTTCTATATTCATATCTCTCGTATTTGCCAATAAAGAGAACCTTAAAAAATTTAAAACCTTTTTTTGCTTTCTCGATGTCAGAGATTAAACAAACAAGCAAAAACGGTATAGATAGATAGTTTAACTCACCAAATGCAGCAAATTCAAGATATATATATTATTTACACACCAAAAAGTTATTCTCAAAAACTTCGAACTTAATTAACCAAATCTGATTTTAGACAAATCATTGACTTGATGACGTAGAGCTTAAGTTAATGTGAGCTTACGTTTGGAGAGACAGGAGAATCGAAGAACCTCTTAGAAGAAAGAGATGGCTCCGAGAGAGAAGGTAAACGAAACTCATGCATCATCCAATCAGTCTTAACTCCTTTCGCAGCTCTTCCTTTGTAGAACACTAATGACTTCTTTAAACCTATGCATTTGTTTCCTTCCGACGAGTATATCGGCCTGTCCGTTCCCGTGGCTTTCCAGAAACCAGCTCCAGTGACTCGGTTCGGCCTCGAGCTGTTCCTATACTTCCTGTCCCTCGGACAATAAAAGTACCATTCCTTTTCACCCGTCATCGCAAACTCTACATTATTAATTAATAACAACAAAAATAACACACAGATTTGTTTGGACTTCATTTTCTTATATGAAACCAATGAATACGAGATGTAAAAGTATGAAAGTAATATATACTTGGAAGATCCCAGGGGTCGTATTTGTAGATATCGAGTTGTCTTATGAGTTCTATGGAGAGAGGATTGTGTTGAACCTTCCGCTTCAAGTAGAAGCTTACAAGCTCTTCGTCTGTGGGATGGAACCTAAATCCGGGCAACAATACTTCCTCCATTTTCTGATCTACATCGTCACTTATGTCTCCCATTTTCTCTAAAACCCTAAAAACGAAAAAGAGTTGAAGTAGGAAACCCTAAGTGGAACAAGAGTGAGTTTGATTGAAAAGTGGAAGAGAAGAGAAGTGAAGTGGTTTAGCTTAAGTTGAAATCAATATATGCTTCCTTGCGAGGGGTCTAAACCCGAAGGATCAGCCGCCATTTCAGCTGAG